TTTTTTTTTTCCAATCTCTGTTTCGCCCCTTTTTCCTTCTCTCTTCATCTGCCCATTCTGTATCTGCACCCCCTCTTTCGTATTTTGTCTCCCTCCGTTTTTGCTGCCCCTTCCCCACTTTCCCCCCCATATGCCCCCTCCCCCCCCTCTTTTTTTTCTCCTTTCGCAGACTTTTTTTCCTTCTTTCCTCTACCTTAATCTGCCCTTTTTACATGTCTCTCCCAGCCTTCCTAAAACATGTTTTTCCTCCCTCTCTGCAGGGCTCTCTCTCTCTCCCCCTAACCCCTTCGGGGTAAAATCCAGAACGACCGGACTCAGTTTGCTCCCCTTTACCCCCAAAGCCCCAAAAAAAAAATTTTCAAACATATACAAGCGCAGGGGCCCAACAGAAGAGGACAGGTTTAAAAGAAGGATACATAAAAAGTAATGAGAGGGGGAAGGGGGGTAGAGCCGATTTTTTTTTTCGGACAAAAGGAAATGCTACATATGTGATGATATGTAAACAAGGCAAAAAATCTTGTTTCAGTATTACACCGAGACAACCTTGAAAAAAACTAAGGAGACCTTGAAAAGCCTTGAAATTGATTGGTAAATTTGGCTATGAACCCTGTTATTAGAAAAAAATACTTTTTAAAATGTTCAGATAAAATGTTAGCAAATCTGTCTTCTTCTTCTTTAGTCCTCTTTTTTCACTTCAGGTGTCAGAAGATAAAGGGTCCTGCTTCGTGCCGTTTTGGTACTTTGACCATAGACACACTGTGCTAATATAGTTTCTCTGATGTTACTTTTGCATCTTGTTCTTGGTCTGTCTCTTGCTCTACCTCCTTCTCCTCTTTTGGTGTATGCCTTGTATGGTATAGCATCAGAAAGCATTCTTTCCAAGTGGGCAAACTGTTTGATTTGTTGTTTTTGCGTGTAATTTAGAATTAGTTCTGTAAATCTGTCATTGTTGTAAATATAATTTCAAGCCTTACAGTTTAGTTACAATTTTTATCTTACTCAATTATATAAGAAAGCCAATTTTATTCAATTTTGCGGTTTGTTGGATCTTTTTGGCTAGTTAAAATGCTTTTATTATATATTGCTGATTTTATAGCGTCTTACAGTAACAATTGCTCATAACTGACTTTTTTTGTTGATACATGTCCAAAGGGAGATCAGTTAGCATTGGCAAACTGTTTTTTTTTTTTAAAGGATAAATTTATTCTAAAATACAAACATTCGTGTTGTTGTCTGTGGATGGCATTTCTATTTTTATTACACTTGAAATACTGACTTTTTTCTTTAAAGCTAAGATACTTCTACTGGTGTCGGTAACTTTATAGTGTCACTTCTGGTTGCCTGTTAAATTAGGGGAAAAAAGGGGGGGGGGGGAGACTATATATGGTTGATGGTGTGTCTGATAAGACAAGAATGATTACACTTTATAAAATAGTTGTTTGCATTATGAACTCGCTTGTGAAATATATAATCAAAGGCATTAAAGTATGTAGAAGTTACATTGTACATTCTCTGTTGCAGTTTGTCGGCTTATCAAGGCGATATGTGCCTGAAGTTGTCACTTTTCTCCATGGTCTCTTGTATTTGGCAGCAGAAAAGAATGCTGTTTCAGGTAAATTATTAGCATTTCTGATTATTTTTCAGGTAAATTTTTAGCATTTCTGATTATTCAAAATGCCATGAATAGCAAAAATATTCATAGGGCAGCTGGTATGCATGTGCAAATGTTTAAGTCAGAATATAAACTAGCAATAACATGGGGAGGGGGGGGGGGGTGGTGTCCTTTTAGCCTAATGGTTTTTAAAAAGCCAGGTTGCTGAGAGTTTCCCTATAAGCCTCAGTGATAAAGGTCATGGAGTCATGGCATGAATCACCTGAAATGTGTGCATAGGCCCTGGGGATGTATTTCAATTTATTCTCAATTTCTCCTTTCATGTATGTTTATAAATTTCGAATAAAAGTTTAAAATCTACATAAATTCTAACAAATTTATTAGTAAACTTTTTAAAAAAAAATGCATCTTAGCAAATGTTAATGGTCGACGTTTGGTGCAGGAGAGCCTAGCATATGATACCATAACATCCAGCTTAAAATGGAGGTGGAGGCAGTCATTTATGCTTTCCGCTGGTTAGAGAACACTACACACAAACATTGTGATTGTAACTGACTCAGAAAGCATGCTGAGGAAAATTTGGACAGTGGCATGATTCACTGCGGAGGACACTGGTGAGGAGTATTGTCTGGATTTTTTCACCGGGTTACGCCGGTGTGTTGGGAAATGAACAGGCAGACAAACTGGCTGGCTCTGCACAACTTGGTGGAATACTGGTACATGATAAGGCAGATGTGGTTAGTGCCTTGTGGGAGAGTGTGTACAGCTCGGAGGAGCAGAGGGATCACCGCCGTCTGGTGAGATTGATACAGCGGGGAGAGGCGAGAGGTTCTGGCAGAGGCCCAGAGGAAAGGCAAGACGGACGTTTAATCAGAATGCTACTGGCGGCAACATTACTATCAGAACTTTTCGCTGACTGCTGAAGATGGGGACGGAGCGCTTATGGGAATGCCCTGAGTGCTGTGATGTCAGTTCTTGAATCAAATCAAATCTGTCCATGGCATATTGTACAGGATAGAACAGAATGAAGGAAAAGACTGAGAGTTGTATGTGTCATATAAACATAACAGGATAACAATGGTGAGTGAAAGTGCAACTAAAGAAAGACACTGGCAAACTATTACATCAAAATATATGTATCCAGTGTGTTTTAAGGCATATAGACAAGATGAAAATAGATGTTTTAAAAATAGGGAAACTAGAGGCCAGCAGAAGGTTAAAACCAGGGTAGGGACAATCAGTATATGTGGATGGGGCAATAAATAAGAACAAGTGATAGAATTAATGGAGAGGAATTTAGGTATTTGGGACAATTTTCACATCCAACAGAAAACTGGACAGATAAATTAGCTCGAGATGTGCCAAAGCTAATCAAGTAATGGGGCAACTATCTCCCCTGTCGACACACAAGCAGATCCCTTGAAGTACTAAAATGAATATTATCAAAACTTTTTTTTGGCCTACACTATGCTATCAGTGCCAATTGTGTACACTTATATCCTCCAATGAACGTAAAATTGTGACAACAGAGATAAAATGCCTTAGAAGAGCTGCAGGAGTTTCAAGGAAAGACAGAACACGAAATCAGACAAATGCTAGGAATAAAGCCAGTCTTACAGGTTATCAAAGAACAACAAATAAAGTGGTTTGGACACCTAACAAGAATGCCCTGGTACTATCTGCCACAGCGAGCCACACTAAAATGTTACAATGGGTATAGAGTGAGCGGATGACTTCGGAAAAGATGGAGTGATGGCATTAGGAACAGGCTTACAGAAATGAACATCAATCTCAATAGTGCTCTTGACAGAGCTCATCAACGAATATTACATCTCCCCCCGACACTTCGATGAGGTACAAGGTGGAAGTAAAGAAGAAGAAGAAGACAAAAGAGACAAAATGTGTGTGTATGGACTTTTTATGTCAGGCATTGTAAATATATATGCTGTTTTCATCTCCACAGGCATAAAGGTATTTCCGCCCATTAGAGCAGGTGGCAAGACAGTGGATCTGTGTGTTAAACAAAAATGGTGTGTATTTTTTATGATCCTTGCTTCGTCCGCTAGTGTTACAGTGTTAAAAAATTGTGCTGCAGAAACACAATAAATATCCAATATAATAAATAATAATAAAGATGAAATTATGGAATTACTCAAGAATATTCTTTCAAACAACCATGTGGGATTTAATGATCTGTAAACTAGTAGTATGAAAGCAAAGAAATGAATTAAAAATATGAGTTTCTCTGAGCAGTCAAATTCTGGCCACTGCATTGTGGTATCTAATTTTATTACCCAGAGAGAAAGAAACAAGGAAAGTAGGACATAATTTTTTTAAATTAATAAATGTTTTTCTAAGTAGTTGAAGGAATTATAAGAATACTTTTTTTATGCAGATGACAATATCGTTGGAGAAAATGAACTAGAGACTGTAAAAAACACTGACTTTCTTAAAAGTAGCAGCTCACAAAATGGGACTAGCTATCAAGATGAGACAGAATACATGGTAATAACAAGACAGGGAAAGGATATAAATTGCAGCCACATACAAGTCGATAATATGAAATAAACGAACGGAAACATTTAAGTACTTGGGCGCGAACTTCAACTGCTCCAACATGCTGAGAGAAGAAATACAATCTAGATAACAATCTGGAAATAAAAGGCCCTTCAACATCTGCTAAAGTCAAAGTCTCTATCTCGCAACACCAAGATCAAAATAAATAAAACGTTGATAAGACCAGTTGTTTTATATGGCTCTGAAACTTGGAAAATTAAAGATAAAACCTTTATTTGATTCAGAGTAAGCACCTTGTGCATTGATACAGCGAGTAGCATGATCTAACAAACACTGGAATGACCTATGTAGTTTTTCTATTGTTATGGCCCTTAAAGTTAATGTTTGGATGTCATCAATATCGTCAAAGAAGCGTCTTTTCAATGGTAACTTCAATTTTGGGAATAGAAAAAAATGACAGGCAGATAAATCTGGGAATAGGGTGAATGGTTGAGAACACACTTGTTTTGGGGCCAAAAACTCCTGTACAACTACCGCCGGTGAGCCAGTGCATTGTCATGAAGAAGGGAAAAAAACTGCACAAGATAAACAATTTTCCCCATACATTTGTTGAAATAATTCAACTGTTTCAGTGGCGCTTTTTCTGAGTTTTAAACATAATTTAATGTTAGCCTTTTGCTCCATGCTGATTACATAACAATGCATCTCTGACTAGGTCAACAGAGTGGCGGCTTTTTTGTTGTCTGCTTATCAGGCAGGGATGAAATGTTGCCAGATCATAGATGAAAGTTGCCTCTATGGATTCCATGCTTCGATTCATAGATGGCATTTTTGTCTTGGCAGTAATAAAATAAGTCTCATTACTTAATTGTCGGACCTTATATGAGCTGTATCCTTTAGCATGTGAATGCGAGTGTGTGTGAGATCTTTAGAGGCTGTTGCCAGAGCTGGGGAGTTTGTGCTTTGTGCAACAGTCTGCTGTCCATGCTCTTGCCTCAAACAGTTTTTCACATCAGCTTAGTGGTGATCGCAACAACTTTTGTTGTAAATTATTTAATAATATGGTATGTCTCTCCATCTGTTATCACATATTCTAATCATTCATCTTCAGCTCACCAGTATCACAGGAATGGTCTCTGTCAGATTTGTTGAATAAGGAGCCGACACAGTTGAATGGAGACCATTTTAGGTGAGGGTCACAGTTGTAATTTTTCATATATTTGTCCTAACTCAAAGGATTCATTAGGCTGTGTTCTAATATATATATACAGATAACCACCATATATCTGATACAGTTTGTGCTCAGGATTCTCATAAATGTCAGGCCTTGACCAGACTGCAAGAACAGCGATAGAACGGGGTAAGACAAGAAAGAGCACAATGCAGAAAGCCAAAGACATTATATCAACTCAGAATTGGTGTCGTCGACTGCTATACACTGTGGGATTACTGAGGGGGTGATTTGAACCCTTATGGCCAATTGTTTTGATGTGCAATAAGTATGATCTGTGGACTAACTAACCACGTCTGCTGCCTTTAGAATGTTGAACAGCATTTACCTAATGTCTTTTTATTTGAGCACCAAGTTACAACATTAACGTGTGTTATTGGGGGGGGGGGGGTCTTCAAGGAAACTTTTTAATGTAACTCAATTACCATTTGTGTAGTGAGAGGCAACTGAGGAGGCCTGATGTAAAATTGGCTACCTCAATTCTCTTTGAACACTTTGGCATTAAAATCCAGCTGACAATGAAAAGAATAAGAAAATAAAGGACACAGAAGAAGATGACAATAGAATGTTTGGCATGAGTTAGTTGAGGATCCTGGGCAGAACATAACTCTTATAGCAGCAAGCCCAAAAGCTACTCAGCTAATTGTCAACTTTATTGCCATACGAGCTTTCTTGTTCAGACTGTTCATGTTGTCTGCCTATAATTCTTGACAGTAAAGTCAAGAAGAAAAAAGGATAATATATTAGGATCCAAACTGTGATTATGTCTGCCAGGAAAAAAAAAAAAAGTGCAGTGTAGAACGCTTAAGGTGATCTCAGATGTGGCGAATTTCTTTTGTGAAGAAAAGTTTGTTCTTCTAAAGTTTTTATTTACTGAATTCTTACTTGGATAAGAGGTATGTCTGATATGTCCCAAACAAGCATGTCGACAAATCAAGAGCTTTCTTTGAAGTCGGAGTGCATCTGCCCTAGCGGCAAGGAACAACAAACTGCACACAAGCCAGCAGAACGGATGTACACAACACTCAGGCCTTGGCACAAAGCCAAAGTCCAAATGGACAAACAACCAAGACTTATCACCGTAGCTTACAGCCAGGGAAAAAGGAAGAAGGGGCCTCCTCTGAATTCTCCTTATCAGTTATATACTGTATTTAATCTGGATCACACACAGCAAAATCCTTTGTAAGGAAGCTGACACTACCTTTATTCCACTTCATGTAGCAGGTCCTTTCCAGAACGTCACTCCCATAATGACAAATCTGAAAGCTTTGCTACCCTATTAGCTTCCTTTTCCACATTGTCCTTGTTGTTATGAGCTAGTCTTCCTCTATGCGGAGATTGAGAAGAATGTCAGTACTTTGTATTCTAGCACATATGAAATGTTAGAATATAAAGTACTGACATCCAAAGGATCTAGATTATATGAAGTGTGGAGGGGCCTCCACTGCGAAGTGGTCAAGCCACTCGCGTCATGCTCTGAAGGTCTTGGGTTGTCCACGGCTGCGCCCTTCAGTTCATTAGTGCAATTTTTACTGAGATCTCTGGGAACTGGAGCTACATAGTTCTTGCTCTGTATGATGCTCTTGGCAGGCGGCTAGCCATTCTGCGGAGAGAGCCGAGCCATCTGGGAGAAAACCCGTTGCAGACAAATTGATTTTCCTGACTTATAACCTTTTATGTATGAAGTGTATAACACTTCCATGGGAATATGTGGTTTCTAACGGGTCAACCTTTATTTAATTAATTTAGAGTGGTTTGCTGATATGTAAGCTTCCAGTCCAGTGATTCAGTGGTAGTAGCCTCATTGAGATCACACCAGTCTAGGATTGCAGTACAGATGCACATTTCAAAGTTTATATATTAGTCTTACAATTGTCAGCATGAAAAAAAAAATGTCTCTTCACTTTGGATATACTGTTGTATTTTGTTACTAATGCCTCACAGTGTAAAAGTACAATAGGTAGCACAATTTGAGTTACAAGATGAGGCCCAGTCTTTTCCATGGTGCAGTTCTCATTCTACTGTCTGAAAACTGAGAATGCTTTTTTTAAAATAAAACTGTCCACTGCATAAATTGAACCCTAGTACTCCAAGGTTATGAAATTGTTCAACACATTCACTAACCTAAATCATAAAACTGCACATGAAGTGCACTAACAGGTATATATCCCAGCTATGGAGGGATTTTTTTAAATATTTCCTTGATTTATTGCATTTTAATCCTCTTATTTTCCTCTTTAGATGTGAAGTCATTAATAGATGCTTGGACAGTCTTCTGATGTGCTTAAAGTTATGGGAAGATTTGCCCTGTGTAGATTTAATCTTTGAACCTTGTATGAAGCCGTTGTCGCTGCTACCAAAACATTTGTACCCAGCAGACATGCAGGTAATTCAGTCTGTATTATTTTTTTTTATTGTATCATATTCATACTAACGTATAGAGGTATTTTAACATTTCATTTAACATTAAATTAAGGATAATTTTAAATTCTTTGTGTCGAATTTGGTTTATTGGGTAAACCAGATAACTTTATACACCAATCTGTGGTCAGTTAGTTAGTTAGTTTGTTGACAGATCATCTACACTGGTCATAGAACCATTCAGTCCATAAGTGCTTGATTCCTCTCCTTAGTATATCACCCAGTGTGTAGTGGCTGAAATAACCAGTTCTGTGCTGGCTGGTTCTTCTTCTTTGGCTCCCGGCTTGATACTAAGGCTGGCCCACTTCTGTTCGCTTGCTGTTCTTGCAGTGAAATTGTGGTATGGTTAGTTACTTCTTGGTGGTGGTTGGAAAGGGGGGGGGGTATGTGACTGAGGTAAGGGTGCTGACCATCTAACCTCATTACACTTAAACCAGAATATTTGAAAGTGTAACACTTTACAGCCCAACAGCATAATCTGCAATGGGGCTACATGCAAACAGTTTTTACTGTAATCGCGCCATTTCAAAACTCCTATTCCACTTAAACACTTGCCGGACTGACGGGCATTCATCACCATACTGGACTTTCATTTACCAATAAATTTCTATAGATTTTGCCCCCGCAGTAATTTTATAAAATGGATAACAGAACGCTGCTCCTCCCTGGTGCATGTCAAAAGTGTAGTGACCATATTTAAACTGTCATTATGATGTCACTGAGTTTGCTGGACCACAGTGTCATGTGCTTAACACTCTTGACATCCTTATTGATAGGTTACAAGACAGTGGCAATGTTATTGTTATTTCTTTAGCTTATAAGGTTTTAATTTAAAGCTCCCTCTAAACTTAGTATTATTGTTTTAAAATATAGGTATAATTATAGCACATTCCAGAGTTTGTAATTAAAGCTTGATTGTTGTTGATGTTTATCATCATCTGTCAAATGATGCTTGAAAAGAATGATGTATGTAAGGAGTGAGGATCGAATGTAAGACAGGTCAGCATGTCCCGTAGTTGACCTTTTGAGAAAATAATTATTGGCTTTGTTAATTATTCTTAGAAATAAATACCTTCCGTCTCCTGTCTCTAATCCCTGCACTCTTACTACCAATAAAGCTAGTCTTATTATAGCAAACTTGTTTCATTGACAGGCAAAAATTGAAGACTTGTCGCAGAAGATGCTTGACAGTAAATCAAAGACACTGAAGGTCATGCAGCAGCCATCCAAGAAACCGGTGCCTCTGAAACTGTTTGAACCAGAGATCCAAGAATTGTAAGTTAGATTATCTCATCTTGTTTCCGCTTGTGTTGAGTTTGCAATAACCATTAATATAAAAATGAAAATCATTCCAGTAATGTAGATGGTCATAGTATGAAGTCTTTCACAATCACGGATCAAGTCATTGTTCTTGTCTTGCTCAAATAATTTAGTTGGATCTTTCAGGTATTTGTCATTCATTTTTCTCTTTTCCCATCAAATTTGCCAGTTGTCAACAATTTTATTTCTCATTGAGTGTTTAAAAAAAAAATCTTAACTACATTTAATTATTCTTATCATGTTATGCTTTTGGCCATCTTGAAGCTTTTTCCTACTCATAACATGTCCAAAATAATCTTGACTGGGTTTAATTTTTCTGATTAGTTTATTCCTTTTATTTGTGATCTTTCTTAAGGAGATCTGCCTCATTTACTTTTCTGTCAGCTAATGATATTCTTGCACAGATGCATTTTTTATGCTGAGGCAACTGTGTGAGAAAACCATTGAGTACAATGCCCAACAGAATATTGTGTTTATAGATCAGGAAAAGGCTTTTTGACTCAGTGGAAAGAAACAAACTATGGTATGTTCTTGAGAACTAAAGGGTGCATGGACAGTTACTAGAGTACATCATAGCCATGTACCACACAACAGTAAAAACACAAGAAGGCATATCAAGTTTGTTCTCAGTCAACATAGGTGTGAGACAGGGATGTGTGCTCTTCCCACTTGTATTTAACATTTTTATGCACAGAATATCTAAAGAAGCAAGTTTTCATACAAACGACATAAGTCATTATAATCACAAGGAAGTACACATCAAAGTAATCAACTCAACCACATTAAATGAACTTCTCTTTGCTGACAAGTGCTTTAGAGTGAAGAAGACTGTGAGATCACATTTACAGGTTAAGCTCAGCATGCAGTAAATACAACATGAAGATCAGTGCAGACAAAACTCAATCAGTGCAGATCAGTAGAACCCCTGGCCCACTATACGTACTGCTGAATGGTTCTGGCCTAAAACATGTTAAGGAGTTTAAATATGTAGGAAATGTGGTCCAGAAAATGGCTTAATTGGTAGAGAAATGGAAACCAGAAGTCAGAAAGCAAACACACTTAAATACCAATTGTCACCATTATTAAGACATCAAAATGTAACTGTGAGTGCAAAGAAACAGATAATAAATGGCATAGTATATTCCTTACAATATTGAGCTAAAAGTGCCAAATATGGACATTACCTAAAGCCCTTGTACGCATAATTACCACCTGTGAGATGAGATGTCTGAAAAAAGCCACCAACCTAACCATCAGAGATCGAGAGAATAATGATACTGTCGGACAGACTAAGGGGTTGGCATAATAGATTAATTGAGAAATATTGGGTGAGGTAGTTTGGTCATCTCATTTGAATGCAGCAACATCTGATACCATCACAGGCACATCTCAGAAGATCAGTTACAAGAGCAAGATGATGGTGTTGAAAAAATTAGGATCGACAACATTAAAGACACTTCATGGCATGACAGTAGCCAGGGTAGGGATTGTAAAGTGTTCCTCCCCGTGACACTTAATGACAGAAGGGGTAAATACAGTAAATACATCATGAAGATCAATGCAAATAAAACCGAAACAATGCAGATTAATAGAACCCCTGGCCCTCTACACATACAGATGAATGGTTCCGGTCTGGATCAAGTTAGGAAATTTAAATATCTAGGAAGTATGATCATGGAAAGCAGTAGAATTGACAGAGAAATAGAAACCTGATGTCGGAAAGCAGGTGCACCAAGAAATAATTCTTACCAGAAATGCCCCTATCCATATAAGAGTTCAAGCAAATGATAATGAATTTACAATGTACAACACAGTAATGAATTAGCGCTGAAAATGAAAGATGTATGACACAGAATTTTCATTCGCATAGGCTTCGTTTTACATTTTCTGCCCCAAACAGTGTAATTGGCGCTAGTCTTTGTTAGAGTGGTGTCACGTAGCACTGTCACCAGTGGTGGCGCGTGTAACTATATATTATACAGTATGACCGTTTTTATCAACCCCAGAACATCTAGAACTGACACTAACCACAACTTCTATACCTCACGCCTGAGCTTACGTCCTACAAGAGAGTGCACGCTACCTTTCATGTAGCGTTTTTGTGCCCGATGCTATCACTGGCGATGTCTCATGTTGTGTATTACACGATCTGACCGCTTTTAACGACCTCAACATCTACAGCTGGCCCTAACCCATAGCCTGCGTCCCATGAGAGAGTCCAGTCTAAATCCCATGGTTTCATAATTGTTAACATTTTCCTGTGCACCATTAAAAAAAAACCGTCTGCTGCAGAAAAACAAGGCTGTTTTCATTGTCGCTAATTAACGCTGGCAGCCGAACTAAATTTCATGTTGTGCTTAAACTCTGTTATATACGTCTGCTCAAATGAATGAGTAAAACATGTCTAGCTCGTCGCCTCACACGACGCACATTTTTGCCAGGACAACACAACCTGACACCCCTCTAAAAAGACCAGCATATGTAACAGGTCAGGTAGCATGAATGAAAGGCCAATTTATGCTCTGTTTGGGGCAGAAAACAAAAAGTTCTTCTTATAGTGTTGTTGGTTACCCTTGGCTGGTGCAACTGTTGTGAGTGCCCTAATTTTAACTTCTTTGGAGGCTGAACAGGGTCTAGGATCAGTTTTGATGGCCAGCCATCCAGAATGAGATTTTTAAATCCAGGATGTTATTATAAACCCTCAGGTAACATTCAGAGAGGACAAACTGATAGGTTGAGCAAAAGTGAAAATATATAAATCCCAAAAGTGTCAATTTAGAAGGGGGAATGCAGACCAAGTGCATAATTTCTGAAAATAGCAGAAAGGTTGTAAAAATATTCAGGTATTTGAAAAAAGTGTCATAAGCCAATCAGATTGTTTAGTTGGGTCGTGTTTATTCATTCAGCGTATCCCAAATTTTGTGATAAATGCATTTTGCTTATTGGGCACTAATTATAAAGACAAAGAGGCAACATTGCGGGGGATAAATAACTAGTTCTTCACAATAGAGGTTCGCCACATCTGAGATTGCCTCAAGCGGTCTGCACTGTACCAGCCTGTATGCAGGCATGTTGGTAATTGAAATGACAAATTTACATTTGTTTTTTTTAAATCCTCAGCTGGGCTGGTAAACGCAAAAAGGGAGGTCCCAACAAGGATGTAAATGAGCGCCAACGGTTGAATCATAAATACAAAAAAGAACTGAAGTCAGCCATCAGAGAAGTCAAGAGAGACAATGAAGTTCTGGCCCGACATCAGTTGGAGACTGTTCTACAAAAGTTAGTATCACTGTTTCTTATTTAATAAGATGTCTGATTTTGCTGGTCAGATATCAGTTTGCTAACGCTTATACATATACCTAGTTTATTTTGTGTACGGAAAAACTTATATATGTATCATCTAGTCTGCTTTGTAGTACAGAAATCTTACTCACGCCATCTCAGTCTGCTTTTGAGTACATAAATATTATATACATCACCAAATATGTTTTTTGTACAAAGATCCATCATATGTCTTATTTTTAGTACACATATCATATGCATCCCTTTGTCTGAGAGTGTGACATTCAACGCCACCAGGACTGCATGACAAGTGATAAACACCCGGTGATGCAACGTGCCACCATTCAGATGAGAATCACCTGGGCAGACAACTCTCAGAAACTCTATTCAACTGTTAGGTTATATTAGGACCCCTGAATACAGGCAGGGCTTTAACCCTGCCAGACCTGAGGCCCTGAACCTGTCCCTATAACCTGAGCTCCTGGGCATTACCGTGAAAAAACTAACATGATATACAAAAATATTAGTTACATGCAAACGAGTGGCTAGAATATGATGAAACTTGGAGACATTGTAGAAAATTGGCTTACCTTTTATATAGCGCCAATATTCCACCTTTGTCTGCGAATTCACTCATCAGGATCAACTTTGTTTCACAAAGTGAACACCAGATGTTGCCGTTTGATGGACACACCCCTTTCTCCTACTATCGATCTATTTCAAGATTTATAATTTTCAAGATTTTCCTCATCATTCGCGCTCTCACTGACAGTGTCACTTCAAGAACGTATTCTTTATGAAATTATCACAGATAATGTATATATATATATATATATATATATATATATATATATATATATATATATATATATATATATATATCACAGAGTCTGAATACACCAAAGTAACGATCACCTGTTGGACTGTGAAAAGCCTAGAACTTGGTTTATCAGCCGCTCGTCTCATTGTGAATTTTCAGAATTTTTCCACATAAAACAACACAAATATAATCCAAACACATGCGGGCAGACATTTGCAATGTCTAACAAAGAGGATTGATAACGATTGGGTGGTTATTTTTAGTCCGTGACGCATTGTTTTCCCTTACTACGCAAAAAGCCGAAAATTAGGGCCAGCGGTATAGAGACAGGTTAAGAAATTCCCGGTAAACCGGGGCCAGCGGTCTGGTAGGGTTAAAATAACAATACTGGGGCAACTATTCATTTACCTTTGTCTGTTTAATGTATGTAAATTATATATGCATATATTTTTTCTTTATTGTTTACATAAATTTTATATACAGATCACTAGACCTCTTTTCGAAAACAAATATCTAAGGTGTCAGACATTTGTGTGTGTGTGTGTGTGCAGAAGTATTTGCAGCTTTGTTCACAGAAATGTGATGCTTGCACACACGTTAACTTTGAAAGCATTCACTTCTTTACAAAACATCAAATAGTCCGGAGAGTCCTACCTCACTGCATACAACATTTAACAAGGCTTGATTAACAAGTGCTGACCACAGTTAAAAGAAACCCCCAATAGGGGATTGAACTCATTTGTGTCAGTAAAGCAGAAATGGCTTTGCAAGAATCATTAATAGTAGAACTACCATTTTTTTTTTTATCATTGGCTTATTGTTGTGAATCATGGACTCTCACTCAGACTTTAAAAAAGAAAATTTGAGCTTTTGAACTGAAATGCTACAGAAAAATTTCTTAGAATACCTTGGACTAAGAAGAAAAATGTTGACATCATGCACAACCTGAACATCAAGGAGAAACTGGCTCGTAAACAGCATCTTCTCCCTAAAGCCGAGGTATTTTGAACATGTCAAGCGCCATGGTGGTCTGGTCATCGGAATCGAAACTGAGCTTGCTGCTGAAGGTGGGGTTGGGGCACTTATGAGACTATCCCTGAGTGCTGATAATGCCTAATTCAACTTTTGTATTTGTTAGACTTATATTCATAGACCAGTCAGTACTTTTTGCATGATAAGGTAAGACATCGCTTTTAGCTGCCTTTACTTTCCAGGACATTTCTGGTTTAGGCTGGGAGCTGTAGGCATTGTTAAAATCTACCTGATGATGATTGTAACTGAATATCTGTCAAGTCACTGTTTCTCCACGGCTCCCCTGTTATGATTAATGATAGTAATTGACAGTAACTTTACAAAAAAAACACACCATTTGAAACACTTTTGCTTGGATACTTTCAGGAGATGCAGAAAGAAAGAGAAAGACCAAGGATCTGATGAACAGTCTGGCCAATCAAGAAGGCGATTTCAAAGCTATGAAGAAGATAAAAAAGTGATAATTATGCTGTTTATCTGGTCTGTTGGTTGCCTGTTATAAATAGGAATGAGTATGTCATGTGACATGAGTGTTTTTGTGAAATAATCTGTCAGTTTTACCTCTTCTACTCTGAGATGACTAGTTATCTTTTTTTGCACTCTTTATTCCCTCATGGAACATACACCCCCAATCAACTCATGTCAGACCTTCTTATTATTCGCTATCTTGTGCAGCTCGCTTATGCCCTCATCATCTTTTTCATATTTCCATGAAAGTTTTTTACATTTATGTTATTGTTTAGGCCAAATATCCTTTCATTTGTCAAATTTCCCTGAGTGGGTTCCAAGGCCCTATTATAGGGAAACAAGAATAGACCCACTGCCTACCCAAAAGCATGTCGTTAAGAGCCGACCAATTGGGAGCTTTCTTTGAAGTCGGAATGCATCTGCCTGAGAGGCAAGGAACCAGCAGTCTGCATACAGATGAGTCGGATCTGTAAAACAGATGCACACGCAACACTCAGGTTTTGGAACAGGACTGCAGTCCAAAAGTGGATAAATAACTTTCCACCAGAGTTTACAGCTGGTGAACGCAAAGAAGAAGAAGAAGATTTGTCAAACTAAGGTCAGCAAAATTCTCATAAGGAGCCCAATCATCAAGTTTTATTTTCTTCAAAGGTAGAAGCAGGTGCTACCACTGAAATGCCTAAGTAGAGTTTAGTACCCCCACAATTTTCACTCGGCATACAGGGAATATGCTAAGTATGCTGGACTTGTAGAATTCTATGAACACAGTAAAAGCATCAGTTAGAATGATTTCTTGGATCACTGTAAAAATGTTTTTACTAATAATTATTTGTATTTCTTTTTTATTTTATTTTAACAAAGCTATATGGGTAGTCAAATAAAGTTATGATTTTGGTATGTGCTTCAAACTTATTGATACATGGAATAAAGTTTGCAGTATGTGTTTTTTTTTTTTAAATAGGGAGTTGTGTTTTCTTGCTTATTATGTTAAATCCAGTGAATTACTTTGTTGTCTCTTACTTTGTCAGTCCATCTGCATATAGATATTCTACCCTCTGTGCCTCAGGGTGGATGTTTTTGAGAATTAAATACCTTAAACCTGTAGTGCAGGGCTTGCCTACAAATTGATACATGCAGTTGTGGGTCACAGATTGTGGAGAGGCATGAACGCCTACGCCAATCGGCAAGGCACTTGATGATAACTGGGCTGGGTGATCATATCTCTCCACAATCTGCAGTGTTCAACAGTATGTATCAGTTCATGTAATGACACCCATCTGCGCCATTACAAAAGGCTGCCAAGGATCTTCTAGCGCCTTCTTTTGTCTCTTTTTTTCCATAGATCTTTTCAGTGGTCACAAGATGTTCTAGTTTCTCTCTTCTTATAACATGACCCCCAAAAATTATGAGTCTTTTTCTTGTTATAAGTAGTCCCTCAGCTTTTTCAAAACATTTGGGTTGCTCCTTATGGCTACCCAAGGAATTCTAAGGATTCTTCTGTAAAACTGCATCTCTGAGGCCTCAAGAAACAGGCTTGTTTATTTTCTAAGATCCAGCCTTATGATAAAACTGGCTCTGTATAGCATGCGTGAATTTTTGTAACCTCCAGTGACATGAATTTATGGCATACAGTTTTCTTCATTTTATAATTTAGCTCTTCTGCATCAGAGTAGGCGTAATCCCATCCAACCCTTTGTTGAATTGTGATCTAACAAGGGCCATTTTTTTTTACACCATGAGGCATACTGGATATATGGTGTTAACCTGGTTTTAAACCAGTAATCTCAGTAGGTAATGGGATCAGTACCATATCTTGAGGAGATAGAGAATTTTGGGAGCAGCAACGTGTCTATATCACTGCTAAGAATCCAATAATTGGAAGTAAAAAAAAAAAGCACAGCTAGGCATGAGAGACACACCAGATAAGAAGTCTTGTTACCCAGCATAAGTCTGATACTGTTAACTGCGGGACGCTGATGTGTATGTTGAATGGGGAATCTGAGCACCTGTGGACATGTCAGGGGTGCCATGAAGATAAACCAGCTTACTGTTCATTGCTCATTTTTGAGATTTCTTTATCGGACATGACCATAGGTGCTCTGATCTCCTCCTGAGTATGTCTCCAAGTGTTTTTAACCAGCTTATAATTCCCAACTCAGTTTCTTGTTTGCGTTAGATGAGGTTGACCTGACAGCTCTGACCTATAAAAAACACATCCTGTCTCACTAGAATTTAAACACCCAACATCCAGGAAGGTGCTAGCCCCTGCTCAATCTCTTATATGGGTTAGCTGCAACCGGTAAATATGTCTCTGTACAACTTTATAGAATAATCAATAAAATAACTTCAGCATTCAAGATGGAGGAAATTATTGCTTTAAAGACATTCTTCAAATGCATGTCTTGAAAACATTTTATTTCAGACAACATCAGAACTGAATATTTTAACCAATTACTGTATGCACACTTCTCTGTGTTTCTGTTGAGCTCTTGAACAGATGTAGACATGCAGAGTCTACGAACATCAATTAGAAAGATTTCCTGGGTAAAACACCTGCTTCTCTGCCAAGTGCAGCCATTTCCTCTGCGAAAATGGAATAAATGGATATTTTTTTACAGTTTACATGCTAAAATATATGTAAATATAATCAAAGACGACATAAACAGGTATACTGAACAATTTATTTCATGCATATTTCACTGTATCTCATCAGGTGCATACTACAGACCCATAATTCTGTTATTGTTGTATAAGCCTACAAGATAAAGGATAATGTAGATCTCTATATACATCAATAAGAGACAAACACTGTTCCTTGGCCACATGATGAAAAGAAAGACATTGGAGAACATTGAGATGACTGGAAAGATCAGTGGAAAAAGGGGTAGAGGCAGACCAAGAGAGATGATGCTTGATGGCATGGAGGGATATCATCGAGAGAGCTGTTCCAGGCAACCAGGGATCGTGATCTGTGGAGACGCATGAGCGCCTATGCCAAAGCATATAAATTACCTACTTTACTTTAACTAATGCCAAAATACTAATGTTAACCTTTTTTTCTTTACCATGTGACTTATCATACATTCATTAGTTAGCCCACAGATAGTACACATTTCTGACTCTCTTCTGCTGCAGTTAGGTGTTACATTAACTCAAAAAAGTACACATTTCTGACTCTCTTCTGCTGCATTCCCCCCCCCCCCCCCCTCAAAAAAGTTACACATTTTACATTAACTCAAAAAAGTACACATTTCTGACTCTCTTCTGCTGCAGATAGTTGTTACATTAACTCCAAAAAGTACACATTTCTGACTCTCTTCTGCTGCAGATAGTTGTTACATTAACTCCCAAAAGTACACATTTCTGACTCTCTTCTGCTGCAGATAGTTGTTACATTAATTCCAAAAAGTACACATTTCTGACTCTCTTCTGCTGCAGATAGTTGTTACATTAACTCAAAAAAATAATTTAAATTGTTAGCGTTACTCCTTCTGGCCATAGTCTTATTTTAACTTCTACGGATTCAAATACTTTAAACAAGAACTTTAAATGGTTAAATATTTAGAGGTTGGTACCAACAGAGTTAAATTGTGTTATATTTCATTATTTTAACAAATGCTGATACTAATATCCAGCTTTCAGTAAATTTTACTTGCCAGAGTTTTAAGTTAGTTTTATATTCTTAAAGTAGGACTTTGCAGAACCAACCCCAGCATTTCTTGGTGGTTGCTGGTTTCACTAGGCAATTTTATGTTTAGTAGTTTATCACTGCTTTTGAATGGTCAGCCTTCAATACCCCTGTTGAAATCAGTGTATAGTGGTCTGCTGCCAAATTTCCCGCAGTTGGAATTGAACCAGATATCTCAAAATCAGGAATCCAGTTTACAACGCCTTAGCGGCAGACGCTGAAAGTTTTAGTATTAGCATGTACAGTGTTTACCTGCTTCCAGCTTTTTTTTCTCCGCAGCTTTCTTGATTCTGTACTGTTCTCTGATCTCATTCTCATGCTTCTGAATTTCTACTTCTTGTTCGGATAAGTAGTCTGGTGAAAAATATTTATAATACAGTACAATTTAACAAATGAGAACTCAGCTACACAAATAACAAATAATGTGACATACCATCATCATCAAGTTCCTTGCCGACAGGCTTGAGGTATCTTGCCTTTCCAGGATCTGTGATCTTTAGCAGCATATATCAGAAATGGGCTGTCAAGAATCATCTAGCTTTGTCTTTTTCTGTCTCTTTTTTACACAGATCGTTCCTGTGGTCACAACATGTTATATTTTTCTTCTCATGATTTGATTTGATTTGATTCAAGAACCGACATCACAGCACTCTGGGCATTCCCATAAGCGCTCCTTCTAATAATATGACCCAAAAATTATCAGTCTCTTTCTGATGTTTCTGATGCATTTGAGGTTTGAACAACAGATCAACATGGCACACGGGTAGTAACCCACAAGTGCTCTGTTCTTCTCCTCGTCTGAGTCCAAAGAAGCTCAGCACCGGCGAGGATCCTGTAATACTTTGGGTAGATTTTTAACCCTAAATTTTGCCCGTGTTAGGCTACTCTTTTTGATTTCCAACTGCCAAGGTTTTTTTTTTACTCCCAGATATGTGGGGTTTTTCCTTTTTGGAAAGATGCTGCCTTCTAGGTACAGATCAACTTGTTCTAGCTTTGTGGAAAGAGTCAAGACCGTTTTAGTCTGGTTAATCATGACTCCCCGAGAGTCTTGTCTATTTCTTGACTGTTTTTATATCTGCCTGCATTCTTGTTTTAGTTGTTCCTAAATGTTCAGCTTTGGTCCATATAGCCAGGTAATCTACATGCAGGGCCTTGTGAATGTGAGTCATGAACTGTTTTGGGAGGTCATTGATGAAAAAAATAAACAGTGTAGGAGATAAAACACCTCCCTGGGGAACACCATCTTGTAACCTGACCAGCTTGCTCTTGTCTTCTTCTAGTCTGACTCTCGTTAAGGAAGTCTCTAAACCAGGCAAACATATGCACTTTAATCCACTGTGTGATAGTTTTAGCAAGAGTCCTTTCTTCCAGACCTTATCAAAGGCTTTGGTCAGGTCGAAGAAAGTAGTTAGCAGTTTGTATTTTTTTCTGAAAAGTATCTTCAGTTTTATGTGCAAGATAATATGTTTGGTCATCATTTCTTCTGTAAGACAACAAATTTAATGGTTTCGCGATGTAACAAGTTTGGCATCTGACAGAGCTCCACAGAGAGCAGTGTTATACAGGTATGACGGTAACGGAACCAGAGGTCGACCACGCAGAACATGGACCACAGAAATATAAGACACTGAAAAGTACTTTATTCTAAGTAAACAGAAAGGCCTGTTCCAGAGCTTGTTCCGTGAGGCATTCTAGGAGTAGAGAAAATAAGAAAACTAATAAATTCGTTACACTTATTTATCTACATTTAAAAAAAAAAGTGTAAATTAAGATATGTCGGCTAAGTCGATGGGAACGCTTCGTAATGCCGAGACGCCGGGTTAGATCCCAGCTGCCGGCCATGCGCCTGGTGTTGGTTTCGACAGTGATATCAAGAAAGCCGACCATACAGAAGGCAATGGCAAACTACTGGACGTAAATTTGCCTAGAAAAACTACACAACAGCCAGGGGCTGTTGGGGTTGGTTCTGCAACGTCCTGTACAGGATAGCAACTAACCATATGAAGATATATGAAGGCAGTAATCAATAAATACGAGTAGGGTGAAGCATTAAATGTAATACATTTCCTGGGACGTAAAACGCATATGTATTAGTGATTCACGCCGCGACCACCATGACCTCTCTATCACTGAGGCATATGGGAAAATTATATATAAATTGGCTTTAATAACAGCTATCTGGCTTTAAGGAAAACCCCCATAATTCTGTTTTTTGTTAACGTATTTATACTCTGACAGAGTGTGAGGCAAACAGTTTGATCACTTCACCACAGCAGAGACCCTCTTCTTAAGCTTGCCCATACCAGATCTACAAAATTTTATCAGCACACCTTGCATGGTTTGATATGCACAAACAAAAGCTAACAGCATATGGTGAGTAGCTAGGGAGACAAAAAGAGCTGAAAGAAGCAAAGAATTGTAACCTACTACCACGCCATGTCATAAATGGTGACTAAAATAAAGTGAAGATCCCTTTTCACGCCTTTTAGGTGTATCGGGTATATAGGAAGAGAGCCCATATTTGTACAGACCATTAGTTACTAGGTGGGTAATGTGGTCAGCATTATGCCAGCATCATCTTTACTTCTCCAGGACAGCCATCCTGGTACTCATTTTAGGCTGGGTCAACCTGTGACAAGTGGTGACTAAGACAGGTTGAATTTGAAAGTGATTAGTGACAAATTCAATGGAAGTACCGGAGATGTGGTTTTATATATGAATTATAAGATTACCCTGGACATATTTAAAAAAAAAAAAAAGAGTATATAAAGTGTCTTAGAGGTGAAGGTTTCATGATAAATACAAAATGTGAGTACATCCGGACTGTGGGGAAAAGAAGCAAAGGGAGCACGAGAGACAAGGTGCTGGAATGTTTGACATATTACATTAAAGACCATCTGTGTCAGAACTCATTGAAAGTACACGAGACAGAAGGTTGTCGATAGGTATGACTGGCAATTCTGCACGGCACAGACTGAGAAAAAGAAGACAAGTCGGCGTGTGGCTGACTATCAAATCCTGTAGAAAACTTTACTTACAAAATGTAATTAATCATAAATAAATCAAAATCTCGGAATTTCTCGGAAAGCAGAACAGTGCACTCAAACCAGTAACAGTGTATTTCACTTCTCCTGAAAAGGCTGGGGGAGTACTGAGCTGTCTTCGACAGGGAGTTTAAGACCATCAATCCTCGACGCTGTAATTACAAAAGTATGTAAGTCTAGACAACAAACTTATCTATCTAATGGGCTTCCAACTCGCTTATGGGACTTAACGTCAAACACAGCTTTGCCTGTGTGTGTGTGTGTGTTTTTTTTTTTAGTTACAGCCTTTGCCGACCACAGCTCTTTCTGGTTAGTATTCATTTCCTGTATTCACACATGTATCAGAGCTTTAAACGGCCCGACGTACGTGAAGATTTTTCTCGAAGATACCTCAGTGATGCGATTTTGTGTATTCTTGTTTGTAATTGTACAAGTAATAAAAGTAAAGGACCCTTTTCCTTGCCATCAGGCGTATTGGTGATCTAGGGCTAGATCTATATTTTATAGATCAAATGGCACTTGGTGGGTGATGTGGTTAGCATCACGACGGCCGCCGTTACTTCCCATGACTGTACCTGGTACCCACTCAAGGCTTGGTCGACCTGGAAGCCAAGGTTATTTTTTTTTGGAAAAAAAAGTCCGGCATCTATCAGGACCCGAACCCACGACCTTCCGACCCGCAGGCGAGCGTCTAACCGCTAGACAACAGAGGCTGCCTGTTTGGTACGGTAACACTGTTTATTCATGCCATGTACGAATGAAGCTTTCTAGCCGCAACGTTTACTCGTCCTTTCTCATTGTGGTAATGTTAAACAGAATAGTTCTGTTTTTCCTTAGGTTTGATATCTTTTCATGAGTAAATCTACAAAGAGCCTATCATGAATTGGTTCAGGGCTTGTGCTTCACTGAGGAGTAAAAGTAGAAGTACGTTAGTAAGAAACTTACTGTGCACTCCACTTACTGTATTTAAAAGCACCGTAAACAATTCCACTAATCAATGCGACCCATCTGGAAAACTGAAATTTTGTAAGTGTTTAGGACAAACATATGGCATCAGAATGCTTATAAATTACCAGATTTATTTTAATGATTTAGTTTTCCCGTGTGTGTGTGCATGCATGCGTGCGCGTACCTGCGTCCATCGTTCCCCTAACAAGTATGTAAAAAGCGATTGTTCTTCTTCTTCTTCGCGTTCGGTTTCGTATGCTTAGATCAGACCATCAGGTGGGTTGCCTCTATGAACTCGCATGCCAGTAGCAGTCCTTCATGGTTCCCCAAAGCCTGCTCTGCACATTTTGCTCTTGGGGCCAGGTGTCTTTTCGAAGTTGTATGTAGAGTGGGCAGGTTTGCAAAATTTGCTCAGGTGTTTGTGGTTCTGTTTGACAGGCACACTGTAGGGTTTAATTAATCTTAAAAGGCGATTAACTAGGAGCTAGAAACCAACAGTCTGCAAACAGTAAGACAGATCTGTAAAAACGATATGTATGCAAAACGCAAGTTCTGCCACAAGACTGAAGTTTAGAAGTGAATGAACAACCAAAACTTTCCGCCGGAGTTTACTATCGATAAACTGATTTCTAGTAATTGCTGTACAATATATTGACAGTCGCTCGTCCCAATACCAATGGCAACATATTTCTGTGACAGCATAGTCTAATAGATTACCGTGATGTAGCAGGTACTTCGTAAATGTCGCTTTCAGCATAGTAAGATAAAGGACCTTTTCCCCGCCTTCGGGAGTATAGTGCTAGACCTATATTTTATAGACCAGTCGGCAGCATAACGTCGGTGGCCTTTACTTCCCATTACTTTACCTGGTATACATTTAAGGTTGGGTAGGCCTGGGAGCCAAGGTCATTAGGAAAAAAATTGGCTTCGTTCGAATTTGAACCAACAACCTTCGGATTCGCAGGTAAGCATCTAATGGCTACATCGCCACAGTTCTCTCCATAATTCTTCAGAAAACTACTCAGTTCCTTGCTATTTTTATCATTTCAACGTATTTTTATATCTAAAATATATCTTTTAATAATTGTGCATTCATCTTTGTACTGGCAGAAACCAGGAACCGAACTTTTCATTATCGTACCGTCTAACCCATCGTATGCTGAAAATTGATTCAGTTTCAGCTTCGAGGACGCTCTTTGTGAGCAGGTACTTGGGTTTCAGACAGATCCTGTGGAATGTCAGTATTGTTTTTTCCTTCTTGACATCGTCATGATCGTACTTTCCGTGTGTGTTCCGGGTTCCATTGTGGCGAAAACAAGAATAGATCCAATGCCTCTCCAACAGGCCTGTCGAAGTAGTTGAACAATTAAGGATTTCCTTGGAAGTGGGGGTGAATCTGCCCAAGCGGCAAGTAACAATAATCTGCACACAAATAAGCCAGTAAAACAAATGTAAACGCAAAACTCAGGTCCTGGTACAAGGTTAAAGTCCAAATGGACGAACAACCAGGACTTTCTGACGGAGCTTACAGCCGGTGAACAAAGAATAAGTAGATTAACGTGTCGTGCAAAATAGCCTTGTATATTCGATGACATGCCATATAAAGTGATTGTCCATTTCTAAAGCGGGCAATCAGTTTTCACTGTGAAATTATTTCTATCAAGACGTCCTCGTTGTTCTTGTATTCTCGAATAATCTATAGCCTTCTTTATTTTGTCCATTTTCTGTTTTGTGCCGCTAGGCGTCGCAGGTTACCAGATGATCGGTGTGCTATGGCACATTGGGTTGCCCGGTATGCTGTGACGCGGAGTCTTAAGGTATCAATGTTAACTCCTCCAATCCATATTCTTTCAATGTTGTACGCTCGGGTTGTTGGCATCACTGGATTCATTCTTATTAATTGGCCAAACTATTTCAGTCTTTGTTTTTTTTCCCCCAAGGAATTCAATTATAGGCGTTGTTCCAATAATTCTTGTAATTTTTTCATTTCTCACACGATCTCTTCTAGTTTTGTTAACGACTCTAGTTTTAATTTTGCAGGTGTTTAGTGTTCTTTAATGTTCCTTATTCAAATCTCATGTCTGAACTAATAGCACAAGGTTGGTAAGAAGATAACATTTATAATGCCCCCCCCCCACCTCTTCCCTTTCTCCCCCCAATTGCCTGGAATAGCCGGATGATTCAAAATCGGAGCTAGTTGATATGGCATTGCTGGATTCGGGTTTCAATCAATCTCTGTCTATTCTGCCATCATATGTAAAGATGCTCCCCAAAGATTTAAAGCGCTGAACTTTGTTTTAAACTTTGATCTTTTATCGTATTGTCGATTGTTTGGATTGTTTAATGTCCTCTTGCTATACACATGACTTCTGTTTTGTTGTAAATGTTCATCTTCATATTATGTTTGTGGCAGCTGTCGTGTAGTTTAGATTGTCCTGCAGCTAACTAACATTAATGTTAGTAGGCAACATTTAAAATCGGAGAATCAGCCATGTGCACATGTGGATTGGCACCTGAGACAACAGATCATGACCTCCAAGACTGTCCCAGATACAACATATCAAGGCAAATCTTATGGCCAAGAGAAACATCGGTGCAAGCCAAACTTTACGGGTCCCTGAGTGAATATATAATTATTATACTGAATTACAAAAGACAGTGAAGTAGTTCATACCACTACTAGAGAGTCTCTAGTAGAGACAACATCGATAATTTATTTCAAGCGAACGAAAGAAGAAGGAATAGGCATTGCTCGAGTTATTCTTCTATAACTGATATATTGTTATTTATTGACGATTTATATTTTTAAACCCGAACCTGCTAAATTACCTACCCTAATGAGCGGTGAAATATTTTGTTTAGGTGGAAGAAGCGAGCCAGCCATTATGTTATGTCAGTTGATAAAGCCACATGTTCGTTTATGGTTCATTTCCGTGCGGAGATTATCGTTGCACATCATATGTGATTTTAATATTATAATTATGATAAAGTACCATACGATTATTTAATGCAATTACTACTTAAGCTAGAAGTTAATCCTATTCTGATCCGCTGGATTGCTGCGGTCCTGTTCCAGAGAAAGATTGTACTAAGATGTGGTAGCTGGTCCTCAGAACCGCAAACGATATGTCCAGGCTTGCCACAGGGATCACCGCTATCACCAGTCTTATTCAACTTTTATACGGTGATGATCACTGAGCAGCAGTTGAATGGAAAGGGGAGGACTTTGTCATTTGCTGATGACATTTTGATTTATCGACGAGGGCGTGATAGACAGGAGATCGCCAGCACTATGCACAAAGAACTCGATCGAATTGCCGCCTGGTGTGATGGTTCCAATGCCTATGTCAATCCTTCGAAGGCATCAGTGTCATGGTTCTCTTTGAACAATCACATTGTCAAGTCAGACTTACCAGAAGTGAAAATGCGTGATAATGTATTGATCAGAACCAACGTTATGACGTTTCTCGGGGTGAGGTTCGATCGCAGCTTGTCATTCAGGGAACACGTTGACCATGTGATAACAAAAGCACGCAAAGGTCTATCTGCAACAAATGAGGATTATGGCTGCTTCCAATATTGAGCAAAGACTACTAATACTTCTATTCTACGGTCTGGTCCTTTCCCCCATTGAATACGCTCTGGCCATCCTCACTGTCAGTGCTACCCAGATTGAACGACTCGAAAAGGTGCAAAATGAAGCCATGCGCATTATTTTGGGATGTACTAGAGACACATCCTGTGGAGCAATGAGGTATCTACTTGACTTTCCAACAATGAACCAAAGGATCAGGATGAGAAGGCTTGGGCATATCTCAAAATATGTGCTGATAAGAAACACCCACTGCATCAAGCGCTTTTTATTGAAAAGGGCGACAGACTGAAGAGGGGGAAATCGTGGCTAGGTCGGGCAGAAGATGTTATTAGGCAAATATGCAGCCTAACAGACATCATACCTGGTGCAGAATGGATACCTGTGCCTCAGGCGTTTATTTGTACATTTTCCTGTATTGTCACACTCAACAGGCGATGTAGAGAAGAGAATCCTGTTGCTGTTAATGCAGAGGTCAACGCTCTCATCGGTGAAAATTCAGACGAAGCAGATGCAATAATCTATACAGACGGATCCGTTATACGCCAAAGAAGAAGCGCATGGGCATTTACAGCACGCTCAGCGGGCAGAACAGTCAAAGAAGCCAACGGCGCCTTCTCCATGACAACCAGCAGCATGACGATGGAGGTGATGGCAGTGACACAAGCGCTTGCCTGGCTTGAAAAACACACAAAAACACCCGTGTGAGTATACTCAGTGATTCAATGAGTATGATCCAGAGGGTTCAGGCAGGTTCAGTGCGAAGACAATGGCTTGAATCATTACAGAAGTCCACTGTCCGTGGAGTCACCTTTATTTTTGTTCCGGGACACGCAGGCGTCGATGGAAATGAAAGAGCTGACAGGTTGGCTGGATCCGCTATCACTACCGACGGTCACAGGCATGAGGGGAAGTTAAGTTTGATGTGATGTGTATAAGGTGAAGCCACGCCTGACGCATTTTGCTTCCCCATTCTGTCGTGCTAAGGGCACAGCTGAAACAACTTTAAAGGTGTCTAACGTAAGATGAAAAAGAATGTACCTATTTGTGTGGCCACAAACGTCCTAGACCTGCGGGCTGCTCCCCGCTGATCTCCGGAGAGCGCAGCCTTGTAGCGCGGGAAGCTCAATACACGGTTGTGAGGTTAAGCAGTCATGGGCAGGACGTGACGATTCCTTGGGTGAGCCCAGAACCAGAGCATCATGTGTCGGCTCTGCATTTATGGAAGCCTCCTTGGATGGCGGGGAATGCCCATGATCTGCCCCTGCCTTCCCTTGAGGGCTGAAAACTCTACATAGAGCTGCCTTAAGGACGACATGCCGGGGGCCACACTTGTTAAAAGTCAAAGAGGACACCACACAAATAAGGCAACATCTCGACCCACACAAAACAATGGCCACAGTCAACCTAGAAATAGGCTTGACGTCTTCCTCCGAAGTCGGAGTACATCTGCCTGAGAGGCGGGGAACGAGTACTGCAAACAAATAAGCCAGTAAAACGGATGTACACGCAAAACTCAGGTCAAGGTAAAAGCCAAAAGTCCATTTTGGACGAACAACCGTGACTTACCGCCGGAATTCACAGCCGGTGAACAAGAAGAAGAAGAAGACTACCGACGGTCAGCCTATGGATCATGCTGATATTATCAATGCCCTCAGAGAAATGGGAAGGATAGACGACTTTGGTGGCAGTGAATCCACATCACTCGCTAGAATGGCAGACTTGGGAATTAAGATCGGCACAGCAAAAAACGAGACGCACACCAGCTACGCCAGAAGACTTGTTAATCAACATAGAACTGGTACTATTAGCCATCGGACGTTGGGGTTCATACTGAGGGGAGGATCTGAGCACCTATGGACATGTCCGGAGTGCAATGAGGATAACCCAACTAACTAACTAACTAACTAATGTGATTGTAGCTGTTGCGATTTCATCATCATCATCATCTTCTTCTTCTTTTGTCCTACTGTTTATGCCACAAAGCTCTGCAGAGATGAGTTATGTGTAGTTTCCTGTCTTTTGCTTGTTGCATCGCTTGTTTTAATGTTAGTATTGTCTATTTTTCACTGCATCCATCCAACTCTTTCTTGGTTGGCCTTTTGTCTTAGCTTGCTGTTCTCATAAAGTACACTCTATCTGGCTGCAGTTAAGGGTCTGAGACGATAAGAGAGAAGTCATGGATGGGAGGATACGATCAGACAGGTTTGCATCCTAGACAACATTAGGCGAGGAGAGGAATCACAGTGACAGTGGATTTATAATCACATTGAGTCAAGAGTTCAGTGAGTGGCCAGCAGTTGCCACGGAGGCTGAAATTCAGCAAGTAACTCAGGACAATGCACACTTAAATAATGTTTTTATTTATACAGACGGCTCAGTGTCAAGAGGCAAAATTAGTCACTGAGGGTTCTTAACAAAAACTAATGGTATATTATAAGCTGCATGCCGTCGTGAGATGTAGGCTGCGTTCTCTCGTGGGACATAGGCTGCACTCTCTCGTGGGATGTAGGCTGAGGCTGTGGGGTAGGGGGTTGGGGTTAGGGCCAGTTCTACATGTTTTGGGACCTTTTAAAGCGCTCACATGCAGGAAATATAGAACACCCGATATCGCCAGTATGCTGACAACAACGAGTAAAATACTACACTGGTCTCTAAGCGCCCCACCCACACAACATAGGACAGACCCTGTGACATAACGAGGCATGAATGGGAAAGGAAGTCACTCTCTTTCTAGGCTGGAAAACATTACAAGCACCAATATCTCTAATCAGTTTAAGGTTTGCTCTGTCTAAAAGACTGCCTAAAATGATTTTCTGTCATTCCATGATGTTCTTTTTTCTCCCATACATGTCTCATATAAGGACACAGGTTAAAAAGGTATAGAAAAACGTTATTGTTTTCTCAGCTACAATAAAATATACAAAATTGTGTTTTCATTTTGACTGGAAAGATGCTTATTACTTATGTCACAGGTTCTCAACCTGTGGTCGTGACCCCTTTGGGGTGTCAAGCCATCCTTTCACAGGGTTCGCCTAAGACCCATCGGAAAACACATATTCACTGAAGGTAGAAGTAGCAATGGGGGTCGCCTCAACATGAGGAACTGTATTAAAGAGTCCCAGCATTAGGAAGGTTGAGAACTGCTGATCTATGTCAATGAGTGCCATAAATACTGTGATTAATTGGTTAGGTCCTTACTTTGGATTTTGCTTCCTGTTTAACAGTAACTTAGGAGATAATTAATCAACACTTACAGAATATAACATTCTCAACACTCATAAAAATTATTAAATAGTTTAATTATTCCCCTCTTTTATTTAAAGTTTAAAAAAAGAAAATATGTAAAATTGCATTATGTAATTTAAAATCATAAGACTGTCAATCAGTAAATCTCAGGCCCAACTTCATGGCAAATGGGTTACCCCATAGTTGCTCCATTCCTGTGCCAGTAAAATCCAAACAGAGTTTCCACTGCTGTGAAAAAAGCAGACTACATTTTCTGCAAAATCAATAATATACACATGCATTAAATGCATAAGGCAGATGGAAGCAGCCACTACAACAGATGAGCATGCAATTTCGCATTAGGCACCACTAGTTAAGTGCTGTACAGAACATTTCAGCTGTAGGATCTTTACAGCATAAAACATGTATGCATATTTCAATGAATACTGACTGACTTGTGGTTGCTCATCCTCTGGGAAGGTTAATGCAGGTTTGTTACACATTGAGCCAGGTGTGCAGAGAGTGGCCACATGTGCTATGGGGGTGGAAGTCCAACAGTTGATTCACGCCCAGGTGATCTGATTACTTATACAGATGGTTTGGTGGTGAGAGGAAAGAGAAGTGTTTTGTGGTTCTCCAGGCCATGCCGGCATGGTAGGTAAGGAACAGGCAGATTGGTTGGATCTGCATCACTGGGTGGTGAATTGATACATGACAAGGCAGATGTGGTCAAGGCCTTTTGGGAACAAGAAATGGAATCAATAGAGAAAGAAGATTATTATGGCCTGGAGAGAATGAGGCACCTGGGTGTAACCAGAGGGTCTGGCCGGCTCATAAAACTCAGAGGAAAGGCAAGACGGACCTATAACCAGGTTGTGACCGGTACCATCAGTAATGGAACTCTGTGCTGGCTGCTGAAGATGAGGACGGAGATGCAGGGGAATGCCCCTAGTGCTGTGATGTCAATTCTTGACTCAACTCAACTCAACGACACACTTGTGACTCATAGAGTCATATCCTGGAGGCCAATCCAACAGTGTAAGTCCAAGATGCTCTATTCAACC